CAAAACAAGGAAATATCCTTAGTGATAGACGCAATACGTTTTGAAAATGTCTATCACACTCAGAAAAATTTGAACATCAATATATAAATATATAATAAAACAAGGAAACGTATTAACACGTGGATAATATTCTTAACTTTAAGTTAGATAAAGCTTGAAAATAATGAAACTAACACCAGGATATTGATTCTACTGAACGCTAATGTGCCATATTAAGCATGACACCAATTTAAATAAATCAAATAGTGCGCTGACGGCTGACATCCTCTTAAACTAAACATATTTTACATTTTAAATACAATAAACAATTTTATTCAAAATTAGATCCAAACTATAGTAGTACTTGACACCAAATATACCAATCAAAAATAGTTGTCTCGTAGATATTAGACTTAAATATTTGGTTTCGTTATTCGTTTTAATTATGATTTTGGTTCAAATTTTTTTTATTTATCTTAAGCTCGGCGACTAAGGCCATTAGCTGTTGTAGAGGTTATGAACTGTGGTAAGAATATAAGGTTTTGGTACGATAGGTTGTTTTTACGGTTGTACGGTAGGTAGTAGCAAACACGCGTATGTGTGGCAAGGTTTTTAACTACTATATGAACCCGGGTGGTCACCCATCCGGGAGCTGGTAGCTGTGGCCGTTACTTACTCCCAGTCGCGTTCCGCGATTGGTAGCAGCCAACGCGCCACGCCAAGCCACTATAATATAATATAATAGTAATAATATTGCGATTAATAAATTACCAGATTATTTTTACAGTCATACAGGTTTATTTTGGACAAAAGGCTATTGAATAATAATCAACACCTTCAAATAAATATTTATTGTTTTGAATACAATAACAGTGCCTATACTATACTTCTGATCTTTAATTTATCATCTAAAGTTATTAAACAAATACTTTAAGAATAAATAAAGAAAAAAACGTAATGTTGAAATAATTTAAATAAACAATGAGCAATTTATAACAATATGCGTATCACATTTTTTTTATAGTTCATACAATTCAGTGATAAGTACCTAACATAAATTAGAATTATTAAAATGTTATGCAATCCAAATCTATCAAACGTAAATAGTAAAAAGCCAATAACACCCACTTAAATTAATGACTACTTTTCTTGATTAATATTGTATGTTATTTAGATGCATATTATACTCGTACATATTATGCTATTTAAGTATCTTTCCATAGGTACCGATACATTTCTAAAACAATATATATTTTAAAAAGTACCTACCTAGAAATAAGTATTATAATATTTAAAATTATTATTTTATATTTATAATTGATCTATCTCTTTTAGTATTTACCAAAAAAAAGATATTATTATAACAGATTAAAATTATATGGTTATAACTAATAATATAAAATTACGTTTAACAAAAAAAAACCTTCGATATTCCTATATAATGATACAGAGATGATATACTTTTTATAGACCTATAGATTATTATATTGATGAATTGATAAATTAAATAGATGAAAGAACTAAAGGTAATGCCGATATTTGAATAAATATATTTAATTAATAATGTTTCTTCTATTTCTAATTAAATATTTTTAATACCTATATACATATATACTCATGTAATGTTAACCTAACATGTTATCTAATAGTTAAATAAAAACAAAAATTGAATACATGAAAAAAACATTTTTTTCATTATCAAAGGTCGAATTAATTGTACTTTTTACAAAAAATGATCTAATAATACTCAATGATAAAACTATTATTAAACATTTTCAATTACAGCTAGTCGACCCTCGATAATTTGAAAATGATGGGACTGTTGAAAATTTCGGATTACCGAGAGTTCGAATTGTTGAGTAGTTCAGAGTAACGATAGAGCAAAAAAATTCTAATTACAGAGTTAAGGGAAAAAATTTTTTTTTAGTTTTTATGTAATATTATTAATTATTTTAGCAAATCAATACATATACATAATATATTAAATGTTTAATACATTAATTTATACATTGTTTTAAGTTATATACCTAATAATAATACTTTGTAAATTAAATTATTATATAATAAAAGATTATTATTTTTAAGGAAATCTGTAATGGCTTTGTGATTCATCGAATTTAGTTTCATTTTTTAATAATTTTTTTAATTTGGTGAATATACTTCGAATTACCGGGCGTTGAACGGGATGATACTTCGAATTGTCACGTGATAGTTCCCAGTTTTCCCAAAATTTAATTTCAAATTACCGAGTGTATTTAAATGTATTGTTTTTATTATAATTATCATCTGATTTTCAAGGGACCAAGTATTTACTTCGAATTATCAAGAATCGACTGTATACTGATAAGTGATAAGCATCTACTACGACTGATATTGAATCATGTTTGCACAATTAATTATAACAATGCTTAGTAAAAATAAATTACTGCAGTATAATAACTGCATAATTTTATTTTTAATGTTTATTCATTTATTGAATGTGTAAATATTTATTTAAACCCCTTATTGGCTTAACACAGAACAATACAATTCCGAGTACTGTTGAAAATGTAATGCTCAACAATGCATGATTTTCAAACAACTAGTGTAGGTGCTATATGTACCTACGCAAAATTAAAAAAAAATATTATTTACTGTCAATTTGTAACTTAGAACTTGATGCCTTAATCTAAAATGAGAAAATATTTTGTTTTAGGTATCTTAATATGGTTCAACCACATGGGATCAGCAAGAATTATTTCCGAGTATATAATTGGAAAACTATAAAAACGAATGATACTGATAAAGCAGTTGTGTATAATACATTTATTTTCTGTCTTGTTTTTTTTTTTTTTGTCTAGAAATAAGTTGAAAATATTAGGCTATAAACACGATGACCGGTCTTTGATGATTTTTTTGGTTGTTTTTATTTTGATCTATACCATTTTAGGTATTGTATTAGTGTATAATACAATACTGATGGCGAAAACCACTGACCCTGCCCACTGCATTCGCCTACTCTTAATCCACACCCCAGGCTTTGTCAATTCGAATTACATAAATAAGAAGTGTAAGGAAAATTATGTTTTCCCTAAATAATAAATAATTGATTATATAACATTGGAGTACGATGCCACTGCAATAGTCACATGCCATTATTCTATATATTATACATATCACGTGTCAGAATAAAGTCCATTGCAAATTATAAAGTGACGTAATTTCTGGATGTGCAATTAATAAAAAATACGAAGGAAAACGTTTGCAATAATTTATACCGATACGTTTTAATTTTTCATTACATTTTTTATAATTCAAATGACATTTAATTTGTTTAAACCACTGCAAGGTTACACTATTTGTCATTGTACCTACTACAGATTATGCGCAATAAGGTGTGATGTACAGTATGTAACTGCATTAATAATTAGATAATTACTATAGATATACAAGAAAGTAGACAATTTTTAAATTCAAAATTAAACATATTTGAAAAATACCTAAGAATGAGAAAATATAATTTAGTTTTTTGCAAAATTGATAGATTTTCGTAATAAAATGTACAGATATATAAAAAACCTAAACCTTTTATCTCAACCGCTTATCAAGTACTTATAACCTTGTATAGCTGTATAAGTATAATATATTAAAAACAAACAATACAGTTAATTTCATTTTTAATTTTAATAAGCATAGTTAAATTATAGCGGATTTGTTAATAACCATTCCAAATACATCATTATCGTATTCACATCAGTTAGGGGAGCAAACTAAATGAACATATTATGTTATTCCATATGGTTTTATAACGGAAAAAATATAAATTAATCAGGTCAGGATCCAACTATTTAGATACGAACACAAGAAACCATATATTATGGTTTATCACAATAGTTATATATGCAATATGCAGCATACATTATAAGTATACATATGATTAATGTATTGCATAATATATACTATGATACGTATATATCGAGAATACTGTAGTAAAAACTCCAAATTAACCTATTAATACAGTTATATTTATAAGAGTTTGTTAAAACTGAAACAAAACACATTACACATTTAATACGTACATTATTATATTTAAATTTCCATAAAACAAACATAATATCCATCATGTCACGTATATTGATAGCCACTGCTGCGAGAGCGCCTAAACTCACATTAAAAACAATCACACTACAGCCTTTACCTAACGTTTCACGTTAGAATGCAATACGAACCCTACAACAGTAACTTTTGTAGGTAACAATAATTATTACCAACATAAGATTGCGATATTAACCACGCAATGTGGTGAAATATACGATATTACATCATATTATTATTATTATTATTATTATTATGGATTTTAAGTAAAACGATTGTTAAAATGTTCATCCGGCGCGCGGGAGTAACACACACACGTGAAAAATAGAAATTCGACGCGATAATTCCGAACAACGGAATAATGACAGCCTCGCGCCAAGTTTTCCAAATGTATTACATCGAGAAATCCCTACTACGGCGCACGATATTTGCGTATAGCGCGCGCGGCGGTCGTATTGAAAGTGTCAACGTTTCATTGATATGATATTATTTCGATCATAAACCGGCGGATTCATGACACGGGCCACTGACTGAGTGGCACCAGCATGTCGCACGGACTGCACGCCGACTCGTACGAGTCTTGCACCGAGGGGTCGTGGACACATTTCAAACGCCCGCGGGACAAGTGTGTCTGAGCGGCCGATGATTCTCGCCGACAGGCCTTGGACGGGCGAGTGCGCACAAGCCGTGAAGAAATGTGTCGCGCGAGCGGCCGCTGCCGGCACAGACGACCGACAGTGGCAGCGGCGCTCGCGTTCACGGTTGACCTCGTTTTTGCGCGCCGCCAAAAGAAACACTTTGGAATAGAAATACTTCGTGGCGGTGTACCTATACATAATGCGGTATATCATCAGCGACGATTCGTCACAATACTATATAGGTACTATAGTAAACCTATATGCGCAACGCGTATAAGACGATGAAATTGTTAAACACATGCGACAAACCTTTGAACTTGCTCAGGTTCTCCTCGTATCCGCGTTTCGACTTGCGTGGAGTCCCAGTTGTCGMGGTTCCGTCGCCGTTGGCCGTAGGCTCGTCCGGGTCGAACCCTAGGCGATCCTTGTAGTACGACATGATGACGATGTCTCGCCGGGCAGGAGCCGCGCGCGAGTGGCAGTGCTGCGGACGGCTCTTGTTATTGCGCTACGGTCCTTCGATGAGGGGATGAGGGACGATTGAGAAAACAAAAAAAAAAAAAAACACAAAATTTGAACAGCTTATCGGAGTATTATTAACTGCTCACGCTCGCTGCACGCGGTTCCTCGACCCGGTGTATACGAGCCTAATTATTACACACACGCACTCGTCGTATTGCGACTGACGGGACGCCAAACACGATATCGTATGTAACCTGCCTACGTGAAATACAATATCGTCGGGACAACGGGTCGCCGATCACTGGCCACATGCGCACGCTGCACACGCGTATAACGACATAATATATATTGTACGTATGACACACGCACACGCTCATTTTGTCGCGCGATCTATCTCGGCGGCTAGCGAGCGTACGTGTGCGTTCCCCTCCAGGTGCTCCCCCCAATCATTGAGCCGGCACAGGTTTTTGCGAGCGGCTCGGGTGCCGATATGAGCGATGATCGAACCGGGGCGCGGGCCCCAAATGGAATTCGCGCGTGCGCGCGCGCTTGGTTGCACACCGCGGGACGACGCACTGTGGTGGGCGGTGATGGTCCGTGGGACGCGGGATTGGCGTCCTGAACTGCCGCGACCGACGGTTCACCTTACATGGAACTGCATTACACCCGGCGACCGCCGCAGATGATTTTCCACCGGAACGGGTCATCGGCGGTACCTATTATAATAAGCACGAGAAAAAACGGAATCGCATTCCGCGGGGGGAGTGGGGCGCGCCCGGATAACGACGGTATAATAATATTATAACATAGGCGGACGTGGGTAGAGAGACGCTCGGCGAGACTATAATATAATGCAACGTACATTATAATATTAATATATAATATTACAAGTAGCGTTTAGTATATTATGTTCGTTTCTTGCACGTGCACYTATTTAGTAGATACCTAATCGTTTGGCAAAAACCTCGAGGCTTTGCAAACAGATTTATTCGCGTGTTATGCCGTAATTACCATGGTATCCAACGATCTTTATAAAGAAACAGGTATATATTGATATGGATACGCCTTTGACGAAGAAGATAATGTTGTTATTTTAATTGACCAAGTTATAAATAGTAATTGAAATTTGTAGAAAACAATAAATTAATAATACATTTTAATTAATATTTTCCCCTAAAGGTACCTATAACTACTATAAATTAATATAATAGTTGTGCGAACTTATAAATTATTATTAATACAATTACATTTTAGAGTATGAAAACTTGTTTTAAATTATACTATTTTACGTATGTACAAATTATGCATATTAATTTATATAATTCTTAATTTTTTTTTTTATTAATTATTCTACAACATCATATCAATTTTATTTATAAGTATAAACTTAAGAAATATGCCTATCTATAATTTACATTATGTAGCACTTACTGAACTGTACTTCATAAAAAACTTGATATACATTATTATTATAAAATTGAAATAATATATAAGTTAAGGAAATGTAATTTTTAAGAACAATGGTTTTCCTCATAACAGGAAAATATATCAAATAAAACTTTCCCTACAAACTACAGTTCATGATGACGTAACAAGCGTATACGTAATATTAACTTATTTGTAAGTGTAGGTATAAACAATGAAAAGATTGTATTTCTAAAGGCCAAATTATTAAAGGTCGTGAGCATTATATAGGTTTAAGTACTAGAATACTAGATATATTAAAAGATATAGAGGTACTCATAATAACTTATTTCACTTCCATATTCGTTAATATTTATAACTGAATCGTATATCTGAATAAGGTACTACAATTATATTAATGAATAAAAAAAAGTCAAAATAGTTCATTATTATGTTGTTGTTTTTTACAATTTTACATAAATTTAAATAATATAATACAGTTAAAATGTAATATTAATTAACTAAATATTAAAGATTGAAGCTTATTACGTTTCCAAATCATTTCGATTTTTATATCTCAATAAAATATAGCGACTGTTCATATTTTATATTATATATACTATATAGTATAGGTTATCGAGCGTTAAAATCTTTTGGCTACCTTAAACTAGAAACAATGTAGATATGTAATTAAACTTAATGTAATTTAAAAAAGTTATATTTTTTGTTCAATAATATGGATTTTAATTTACTTCTTAAAGAGCTAGGAAAACTACACATGAAACTAAATGTTCAATACTACCTACCAGGGCCAGCTTTATAGATACGAACAGGGCAACGGAACAGGGACGTCAAAATCAAGGGAGCGCACGTTTGCCTGTTTATATGTTTAATAAAAGGGTGAAAGACGACGAAATTTACTACCTCAACCCTTCTTAATATCCACCAATGGGAAGGTGTGTCCTTAAAATATATTCGACGTAAATAAAAAATGCTAATCAAGACCGGACGTACCGACATATCATAACTATGCATAAAAATAATGTTTAGGAACATTAAAAGTTCACAAAAACTAATAATATTTAATTTTATATTTTACTCTAATGAAATAGCATTAATTTCGAGGTTTTTTAATTATTTTAAATTCTTAGTTAGGTATAAGGAGTAATGCCATTTTATGATTCCATATATAGATTTAATGAACAGTGTAGCAAACAATAAATCCCATAAAAAAGATATTTAACAATTTAATTCAATTTGAAATCAGTTTTAAGACTTTATAATATAGGAATTGGAAGATATGATAGTACCATTACTATAAACACATGATATTTTACTGTTACTAGTCATGTTAATTTTTCTAGTACACAATTAGGGTCATAGTGCGACTTAAAATAGTTTAAGATGAAATAAGAATTACAAGTACTACTACGTATAAGAATTGTATTTCTTAGGATGTCACTTTAATAAAAGTCAGCAAGTCATAAAATTAAAAACTACCTTCAAATTCAAGTATTTATTCAAGAAGTAGTTATACACATATTGATATCAACATCATTGAAAAACAATTATACCTATACACATATCCACATTACACATACTTATATAAATTCCTAATCTATAGGTTAAACATAATAATATATTATATGATTTCTAAATGTAAGATAAATGTTTTTAGAAAGAATCATTATTTTTGTACACTGAAAAACGCACAAAGAAATTGACCGGTGATTTCCATAAATATTCTGTTATAATATGAATCAGAATAATCCGATAATCATAAGTACCTACCTATATAATACACCATATATTTTTACAATGTAAATACTATTATCGAATGAATGATCAAGACTTAAGCACTTGAATAATGTTACTATTATAATGTCTGTCGATTTTATTAACGACATATACTTAATCAATTATTATAAGGTTTTAACTTGAGTCATCGTATATAATAGAAATAAAAGATACCAATAATATACGCTACGGTTGATTTATAAATACTTAGGACTATAACTAAWCGTATATTTTTATTAGAACATGGCTTTTATAATGTTTTAATTACAGATCCGGCTCCGTGTAAGTTACCCAAAGTACATAATGTCGTCAACTTAAACAGTAATCTGTCATTAGTCATTACATTATAGTAGACCTAGCTGTCCTCGATCCAATGCCCATTAAATGTATATAATATGAAACATTGTCAAGGTTTTAATGTGATTCGAATATTCCTAATTTTTTATTCATATAGTTCAGACAGACTTCATCAAAATTCGTGCATCGCAAAAAAAATGTCTTTAAAATAACTAGGTCATATATATATTATAACAATATTACAACCTTCTTTTATACAATATAATGGATATTCAAATAAATAATAATAAAATAATATTTTTAAATTGTTATCATCATATGTTATATATGTATTATAGTAAAATTAGTATAGTAACATAACTATGAAATTAATAGTAAAATGTATAATATATAAATATATTAATTAATAGAAAATCAAAGAATTTATTATATTTTTTACGAGAGATAAATAGGTACGTAAACGAACAAAAGACGTCAGATAGCAGCAAGGTTAATGGACTATTTGTAATCACAACTTCAATGATTCATACCTATCAATAATAGGTTCAAAAAAAATAAATAAATTAGGAATATTTGTTGATATAATTATTATTATTTTCGGAAGTTGGCAAAAAACACCAATAAATTTAAAAAATTGAAGCAATGTATCCAATAAGTTTTGGTCTAAGAAAAAACTATCAATTTGTGTAATATTATTAACTATTAAATTTAGATTCTTTGGAAATACGCTAAGGATAAACGATCGACTATTAGATATTACCAACACGTAAACAATAAAGGTCAACAAACTCAACATTAACATATTAATAATAAACCGAACTCAATAAAATATTTACCTTAAGAGAACGTTATACCCACATATTTTGTCTCCGTCTTACAAGTGAATAACATAGCAAATGTTACGCTCAGCAGATCACGTTTAGCTTCCCGAGCTTAAAATTTAGAGTGAATTAACCTCTTATAAAATTTAAGGGTAACATTATTATGGAGGGCTACTCTTAGGATTTTGAATTTGAAAGAAAGTTATGAGTATTTTAAAATTGTAAATTGTTTGTATATCCTAAAATACTCATAACTCGCTTTAAAAATAAATTACAAAAAGCCTATGAGAAACCCTCCATAATAATGTTATCTTTAATCTTTATAAGAGGTCAATTCACTCTAAATTTTAAACTAACGGAGCTGAACGTGATTTGCTGAGCGTAAAATGTGCTATGTTATGCACTTGTAAAACGGAGACAACAAATGCAGGTATAACGTCTTCTTAAACGAATGTGCATTAGAATCTACAAACTATCAAGCATAATGAAATAATCAGAGAAATAATAATACATTGGTGATTATCATGGGTAAACGGTTCTATTATAATAATGTGCATTGCATAATATTATGGCATAACAACGCGACGTCGTACATCCCTCTAAGCACATCTTAATGACTCAACAAAAACGCATAATCGACATGGTTTTGGACACGTGAAAAATAAATCACAGCAGTATTAAATTAATCACGAAAAGAAAAATTCGATGAACATTAGATTCATACATTTTTCAAAA